TCATGTTTATATTTCATTTTTCTTTAATGCATAAGTCTTATATCACGTTATGTAATAAATGTACGTTTTTATTTCTATCTTTATAGATTCATTTATGATTATTATGTTTACTATGGTTAATTATTCCCAGCAACACAATCGTACATGCCCTCTCTTCTAACAGGCACTCTCAGATGCAGACAGAGAGGTAGAGGAAGTCATTGCTCCATTCAGTCAGGACTTCTCTAATCCACTCAATGCTGAAGTCACCATTCCAATTAGGGGCAAAGGGAAACCACAGCCACAACATCTGGACATCTTCAATTTTGCTACAGATCCATGGTAGGTAGTGTTTGGGTTCATTTATTTTAACATTTTTAAGGTAAAGTTGAAGACAGATGAAGATTGGAGGGGGTTGGAGGAAATAAAGTTAAAAGGAAAAGCTTAAAACAGAGTAAAATGGAATTCGTAGCTGAATACTATGCCATAGTGATAATTATGAGAATTATGAAATATTCTGAATATGCTATGTATTTATAAGATATTTATAAGATTAACCTGTAGACAGCAGGAAGCTTATACACCTGTAATGCCCCCTGCAATATTATTTTATTAATTTTGTTTTAACAAATGGCTCCACAAGTGCTAGTCACCAGAGTCCATTACTACCTGATCTCACCTATTTACACTATTCCTCAATATTTCTTAAAAACATTTTTATTACTACAGGTATTAATATTTCTTAGAACATAATAATGTTCATGGTAATGATAATTAAAACAACATAGCATTTATGATATTAGTATTTGAAGAAAAACAGAGAAAAACAAATTCAAGCAGGGGATAATCAGGCGAGGTCAGATAGGCTCAATAATTCGACTTCATGGGGATGACAGTGCTGTCATTTTTTTGCTGTATCATGTCAAGCTATTATTATTATTACTTTTACAATCATCCTTTTATTTATATCATTATCATCAAACTTGTATCAGTCACATGAATATTGTCATTGTCAGCATTATTGTCATCACCTTTTGATATCATTATCATCATCATACCTATTACTATTGTTCGTGTTAATATTATTATTGACATTATTTTTTATTTTATAATTATCATTGTCATTATTGCCATCATAATCATTAGTATTACTAGTGTTATCATTATCACTTTGTCATTACCAATGTTTTCATTATTAAAACACATTTTTATCATTACTATTAGGATCATTATTAATGATTATCATTCTCATTATCGTTGTTAATAAAATTGATTATCTTTGCGGTTATTATTAGTCATTTTCATCATCAGTATTATAATATTTTTTTTTTTTTTCCCACATCACCATTTTTATCATTATTACTATGATCATTATAAGCTTTATTATGATCATTATTTTCATGATTGTCATTATTGATATTTATTATCATTATTATTGTCACTGATATTATCATTGTTATTATTATGGTCATCATTGTTGTTGCTATTATCATTATAATCATTATCATCATAGGTCATTGTTGTCATTGTCATTTTTATTTTCATGGTAATTATTTTTTTTATCCTAATTATCATTATCATTTTTATCATTACCTTCATTGTCATTACTATTATTGCCATTATCATTTTTATCGTTGTTGCTACAATTGATTATCTTTGTTGCGGTTATCATTATTCGTAATTATTATCATCAGTTGTATTATCAATTTTTTTCTATTTTCTTTTTCCAACACCATATATATCATTATTACTATGATCATATATTTATAACCTCTCTGACAGGGATTCGAACCACTACCGCCATTGCAAAGAAATCACAAGACAGGCACTCTATCTGCTGATACACGACCCAACAAAAGAAGCAAGCAACTAGAAGTTACACACTTCTTTTGTTGGGTCGTGTATATATCAGTGATATAGCTTTTATACCTTCTATTCATGCACCAAGCAGCCCACTTAAATAGTATTTCCCAGTGGCAGTGCTCGTATTTGATTGATCAATGTCTTTCATTCTCATTGTGCAATTAAGAAGTCTTCCATTCTTCAAGTAATAAGTAGCAAAATGAGACAAGAGAAAAGGGTAAGACAAGATTAAAATTAAAAATATGAAAAAAAAAAAAGCCAATAAAGAAGAAACTTTTATGTATGACTGCCATCCCAGCAACAATTGTTGAATATGTAATCGCCAGGTTAAAAGACTTCTTTTTGTCTTTAAATGGGACTTCCTTTTATTTAATGTATTTTACTGCATTGACATCCTATGAAACTATCTTTTTTTGTATCTTCAGTTTTGACAGCGTGGAGCCAGAGAAGGGTCCAGACTACAAGAATGAGCTTGAAGAGTCAGTCATAAGCCTTCAGGAAAATAACAAGGATCTCTACAATTTTGCAATGAAGCAAATCCTGAGGAAAACACCCAAAGGAGGAAAAGGAAGTGCTAACCGGAAAACCAATAATAAAGGAAAGAAAGCGAGTGCCAATAAAAACAGATATTTTGATACAAAAGAGAAAAAGTAAAAAAGCCTTTTATTTTCCTTTTGTTTTCTTTCAGAACTGAAAAATGTGTGTATATAATATATACTATAATAGATTATACTATATTATAATATATGTGTGCATCAGTGTATAAAGAATACAGTATAACTCAGTTGCTGCAAGTAACTTCATATATGTACAACTTGGCCTCATGTCAGTTGTGCTGCATGTGACTGGTTTCTGCAGGGGCAAAGTCATAGATACATAAATGATCTTGCAAATAAGCAGAAAAATATGCAAGAATGAGGTGCAGGGGAAATATTGGTAGGTAGACAGGGTAGACCAGGGATAGGCTCCTTTTCTTGAGTCATTTCTTAGAAATTTTTTAATGTCAAGAGTTTCTGAAAGGGGGTTAGTAGGGGAAGTCTGAGAAACGATGGTATTATGAGGGGGAGAAGAGGGGATAGATGACTGAGGAGAAGAGGAAAAGGTATGTGTAGGAGGATGAGGATGGGTAGATGTGTAACTTTAAGATTGTTGGGATGGGTAGAGCAAGGAGAAAGGCAGAGGACAGCACTGGTGCAGGGAGCAAGATAAAGAAAAAACCTTGTCAGTGTACTTCCTGCCTGGCTTAGCATACAGTGAGGCCAAATTTGATTTTAAGTACTGCTACCTCAGAATCAATGTTAAGAGGTAGGGCAGCGCCTATAAAATACATAATGGGAGCTAACACAAGCACAGTTAGCACAGGTGTGATTGTGCAGAGAAGTTGAAACGATCATGGCAAGGTTGGGCAAATATCAGACTTGTGAGCCATGAAGCAATAGTGCTTGGCAGGTCGACCAAAAGGCCAACATTTCTGACACTGATGGGGGAGGGGTCGATATGGTCAGCCAGGGCAGAGCACAACACTATATAAACTTCATGGGGGTCATGTCTACGGAAGGTAACCTTGGGAATATTAGTGTAACCCTTTCAAGCGGCCTCTATGGGGAACATTGTAGCTCTATACTAATACCATGCCACAGTCAATGAGGCAGGCAAGCAGTTCATTTTCACAGTCTGGCCAATCCACTGTCGTAGACAAGGCAATCAGCTGGGAAGGAAATAGTTTTGGGAAAAGTATCTAGGGAAGGGCGAGGCTTGGTTGGGATAGGTTTGCCTGTGAGGGCAGTCAAGGAAGGAGTATTTTCTGAAGGTTGAGTAATGACCTGGATGGATGATGGAGTGGACTGAACTGACCACAGGCATCAAAGAGTGGTAGTAGTACTGGTGTTGAGAGAAATAATCAAAAGGAGAGCCAGGGCTTGGGGAACCGGAAAAGTTAGTGTTAGTGAGGCTAATTGATAACGGGGTAAATCTCAGTGTCCCTAATAAGGGTACTCCTTAATGGTTATGGTAAGCGTGGAATAGGTGAAGAGAAATGGTTCATCCCTCAGGGTCACGATGAGGCATAAAGGCTGGATAAATTAAAGGGAATGCAGTGCCCATGGCTCCCAGAGGCCATTCAAGACTAACCAAAAGAGTCATTTATCCTTTTAACACAGGTCTCATATCTTAGGAAGTTGACAGAAGGGGTGGGAGAAGAGAAAAAAAGAAAAAGAAGAAAAAAAAAAAAAAGCATACAAATTTAGTGGAATCGAGGACTGAGGACCAAGGTTGGGGAGATCCCCAGCACTAGGTCCGTCTCCGTCTTCTAAACTCCCAACAACAACAATGGGCAGGTTGTCAGATCATAAGTCTTGCCAGATTGTCTCGTTAGATACTCTGTCTCACAGAGACAAATAGCTTTTTTGTCTTGCCAAGTGACTTTAAGTCTTGCCTGATGGCTTTCTGTCTTGGCAGGTGACATTTTCTCTTATTAGGCAACTTTTTTGTCTTGCCAGATGGCTTCTAGTTTGACTCATACTTATGGTCTTTTTTTTTTGTCTTTTTGTCTTGTCAGATGGCTTCTAGTCTCCTCAAGGTGACTTTTTAGTCATTTAGATGGCTTTCCAGTATGTCAACTGTCTTTCGGGTGCTTGTTATGTGTCTTGCTGACTTTTCTTGCCTGATGGCTTAACAGGTTTTTTGTCTTGCCAGATGGCTTCTAGTGTGGTGGTGTCTTGACTTTAGATGGCTTAGTCTCCTCACTTTTTAGTCCATTTTGTCTTGCCAGATTTTGTCAACTGTCTTGCTAGTATGTCAACTGTAGATGGCTTTCTGTTATGTTAACAACATTTTTGTCTTTGACTTGACTTGTCTTACCAGATGGTTTCTAGTTTTGCCTTGCTACTTTATCTTATCAGGCTACTTTTTTTATTTTCAGTTTTGTCACATGGCTTTTTGTCATGCCAGGTAACTTTTTTGTCTTGCCAGATGGCTTCTAGTCTTGAAAAAGTTTTTTTTTGTCTTGTCACGTTACTTTTTTTTGTATTCGTAGATGGCTGTTAGTCTGACCTGGTGGCTCTTTGTCCGTCTTGCCAAATGATTTCTAGTCTCACTAGGTGACTTTGTTTTGGCTTTTTGTCTTGCTATATGGTTTTCTGTCATGTCAATTGGCTCTTTGACCAAAAGTCATCAGTTATCTGTTGCTAAACTTAGACAAAATTAAGAAAGCAAGACAATTAAAATATGCCTATGGCTAGAAAGTACGACACTGATAAGCTCAGAAAGAGTGGTTAAGAGCGAGATGATTTCAAACTTGAGTGCAGAAGCAGATTGATATCTTTGGAAACTCTTGAAGGTAAAGATCAGACCACTGAAGAACACTGGGAAGAAGTTAAAAGTGTCAGGCATGATATTGCTAACTGTACAATCAAAAGGAAGAAATGGATGCCAGATGAAACATGGGGAGTGATAGCAAAGTGAAAAGAAGTGAAATTTAGACTGGAATCCCAGAATAGATCTGAAAACCTGGAGATTTCAAATACAGAGCATCAGAATATCTGTTAAGAAGTAAAAAGAATGGTTTAGAGAGACCATAAGAGATATATTGATGAAAAAGTGGAAGAGGCAGATAAGCTGATTAACGAAAACAATGGGCAGAGCCAAAGAATTGCTTATAAGGCAATAAAGGAGATAAATGGTACCAACCACTGAAGTAAAGACCTAACGATTAAATGCTGAAATAAGAAGTGGAAAGAATATTCCATAATGATTTTGAATCGACCGATACCTGAAGATGATGATGTGCCAGATACTGAAAGAAATCTTGATATTGACAAAGGACCGATTAAACTCGAAATCTTAAAGGCAATTAAGCATTTGAAGAACAGTGAAGCACCTGGTAAGGATGGTTTATTTCCTGAGATTTTCAAAGCCGCTGACGAAGAGAGACTCCTAAAAGTTTTAATGAGATTGTTTAACTGAGTATGGGAAACTGGTGTTACGCTGAGTGAATAGAAGAATGCTGTCATCAAGATTTCAAAGAAAGGCGAATTGCGAGGCAAAAGTCTAACCCCAATTGCGTGTAAACTTTTTTTTTGCAAGTTGTTGCTGAATAAAATGGCTCTAAAAGTTGGTGAAATTCTACGTGGAACAAACTGCACTCAGAAAAAGTCGTGGACGCAACAATTAGATTTTAATTGCCAGATATATATTACAGCAAGACAACAAAAAGAAAGCACTAATCAGTCTTTGCTTTGTATATTTTGAAAACGCATTACACAGTATATCAAGAAGTATAATCAGAAAAGTTTCCACACATTATGGGGTCCCACAGAAATTTTTTAACATCTTACTGGAATCACAGAAAAAAAAAAAACTAAAACAGCACTATGGTTTAAAATAGGCACAAAGCCGGTTTGAAGATCATTTGTTACAAAACTAAAATTATGAACAGTAAACCAAGTGACCACAGAAGTCTGCATCATAGATGAAATGTTGAAACATTTAAATACTTGGTTATTGATCCTGTCTAAGGATGGATCTTTGAATGCTGAATTTCAAGAAAGGATTTTCAGAGCAAACTAAACAATGGACGTGGTTAAAAACATATGGAATCATAAGTTAAATTAATGGTTAGAAGCAAAATAAATGTGCTAGACATCGGTGGTCATATAGCACTATAGGAAAGTATAGTATCAAAAAGGGTAAAAATGGGGATGAGCTAATGGTTAGGTGTTATACGTTTATAGTTCTACAATAGGAGGTTGGTATTGTAAGGGGTGTAAAGATGTGTTAGGAATAGACAAGAGGGGATTGGATTAAGTGAATGATATGTATGTGTGAGGATGGAGAACAGGTTTTCAATGCAGGGTATGGGATTTCATCAGGATGTCTGATAGGTTGGGAGGTCGGTGTAAGGAAGATAGGTGAGGAAGAGTAGAGGTGTGGGCTGTGGATAGGAAAACAGGATGTGTGGGACTGAAAGGGAAACATTACATAGGGAACATTGGGGCAGTTCAGATCGTGACATTGGGTAGGAGTGCGTAAGGCAAGTATGGCTAATACGCAAGCGGGCAAGTGCCATCTCCTAGCATCTGTTCTTATGAAAAGAAGTTGACCAGGAGATAAATGGTTTTACTGCATATAATTTATTAGTGACAAAGCTTGACCAGAAGCTTTGCCATCGAGCATAAAGTAAAGTTTTAAAGTATGGGTAATTGTAACACTCATAGCGTCATGAGGTGTTAATAAGTATAACTTTCTTAGGTTTGATTGAGGTATTTAACACGCCAGACAAAGGTACTTGTTTTCTTTGGTTTGGTCATGTATTGGACATATGAAACAGGTCCAACTGTAACACATCAGAACATGCCTACTTAGGAAAATTAAATCATATAATATAGACACATAAACAGGCATCCTTCATAATCAGTACAAAAAATGGTTCAAAAACTAATGAAAACATCGGCGCTATTGCTGATAACCACCAGCTCGCAAATAACTTATTTCATAAGAATATCTCCAATTATTAACTTCAAATACTAGCTTAAATTGTGCATTATTTCATTTTGAAGAACAAAAGTGTAAAGCACACGGAATTAACTTAAGGGCTCGAACAGTTAATCATAGATCACATATCACTAGCAGACTTCTTACTCTTTTCATGGTACGTTTGCT